CAGCCGTTTCCTGCCGTGACAGTGGGTCTTTCGGTCTCATGACCCGGCGCCTAGTGGTTGCTTCTGGCCTGTGCGCAACTCCACCTCCCAGGGGGATGAGCAGACGCCTGACGGCTTCCGATGCATTCTTCACGTACGGAAGAGCTCGCCAAGCTTTCGGTCCAGTTGGATGTGCATTCTTCTCTTGTTTGCGTATGCATTGGTTGACAAAATTGCGCGGGTAACCATTCGCTCGCAGTACCTGTCAAAGATGTTGTAAATAAGCAACTTTGTCTCCACTCCGCTGCAGAGCGTCTCAACGTGACGGAATAGCGGTCTTACGCAGCTGCGTTTGTGACTGATTGTGTGGTTGCTGTTGTAGTTCAGAACTTGCACAGCGTTGATTGCCTTCCTGATTGCTTTCCTTTTTAGGCCACCCCCGTCTTTGCGGCATATTTCATCGTAAATTGATGTTCTGAGAATAAGGCATTTAGAGGTTTTTTGAATGCCAGCACCTGATCTCGCTCAGTCACAACGAAGGTGTCATCCACATACCAAGCCCAGAATCTTGGTCTGTGGTTTCGGAAAACCAGCTACTCCAACCGTTGCGGGACCGTTTCCGCTATGAGTCCGGAAATGGGCGAACCAATGGGTGTTCCCTTCACCTGCTCGTAGATAGTTCCGTTGAAGGTAAAGTGCTTCTTCAGGCAGAACTTTGGGAGCTGGAGAACTTGGGCATGCCCGAGGCGATTCTCCATTGTATCGTATTTCTCTCGTAGGAGTAGTTGGATAGTCTCAACTGCCAGGTCCTGTGGAATAGAATCAGAAAGGGAAAGACATCAAAGGATACCATGATGTCGTTTGGATGGAGGCTTACCCCTTTAATTTTCTCTAAGAATTGTGTTGACGATCTGACTATTGTGTCTGAAAGAGTGGCCAAGAAGTTGAGCCGTCGGAGCAACCACCCTGCCAGTCCGTCGGTTGGAGTTGCTTTGACAGGTACGATAGGCCGGAAAGGTGCGTCGCCTTTCTGCACCTTGAGAGACCATAAAAGTGAGCCAGAACCCTTTTTTGGGTTCTCGCTATGCGTCGGTCGGTTGGCGATATTGCACCTGAGTTCTCCATTGCCAACAGCGTTGTTTTGATCACACATTTCAGAATTTTTTATGGGGTTGGATTTGCATGGGACGTAATACTGACGATGGTCTTAGAACGGTTTGAGCTTTGTGAATGTAGTCTGTCCTGTCCAATAAGACAGTGGACCGCCCCTTGTCTGTCCGAGTCAAAGGAGAGTCACATTTTTAGTCACTGGGTTTAGTTTTCGATGGAAAACGCACAGGCCCAGGGTACCATCTTTCTGCATAATTACTTCAACTTCTATCATAGCTATATCTCGCAAAGTAGTACCATTTGCCGTTTTCAGGCTAGCTATAGAATTTACAGAAAGTCTCCTGTGTAAATAATGGCACAGCATGCTCAAGAATTATCTAAGAATGACAACCTGCTATTTCCTATATTGTATCAATAGCTGAGTAGTGAGACGTGCATCGTTTATTTGCATCGTTGTGTTTACTGTTCTTACTTCCTCTGCTCAGTGATTGAGGGCGGTTGCCCTCAGCGAGTAAAAGGCTGCACACCCAACCATTTAACAGAAGAGATCTGCTGATCAAATGACCTCTGACACGCTTGACTTAGCCTAATTATGCTAAAACACTCTGGTCATCTTTCGCGGCATCAACGTTTTCTAGGCCAAGAGCTTGAATCCCATTAATGGTCAGCGTTGTAAAACATTATGACTCACATGTCCTTGTGGTGAAGCATTCACATGTGAATTTGACTAACGATTTCTGCAGTCGTGGGTGGGAGACCAAGGTCATGATTAATCGCTACCTGTTGCAGGCGGTCGATGGCGGCCTCGGAGATGGTAGAGGGCCCATTAATTACACTTTTGAGGTGCTCAGCCCAGCGCATCAGTATCTGCGAATTTTCAGTAATTGGAATTGTTCCGTCAGCGCTTAGGACAGGAGCTGTTGCCTTTACTGTGTGACCGTATATAGTGTTGATCGCGGTGAAAAATTTGTTCCAGTCGTTTTGGTCCGCGAAACCTTGGATTTTATCCGCTTTTTTGGTCATCCAGGCATGCTGAATTTCCCGCAGCCGCTGTTGTACAAGTCGGCGACTGTGATAAAAGGTATTTTTCGTGGTGTGGGTCGGGTGATCAACGAAATCCTTATGCAGTCGGGTTTTTTCAGCGAGAAGGTTGCCGATCTCAACGTCATTTTCGTCGAACCAGTCCTGATGTTTGCGACGCGTGTAGCCAAGGTCATTTTTGGCAAAGATTTGGACAGTGTCTCGTAGTTGACACCACTGATCGTCCACGGTGGCACTTCCCTCGACCTCTGGTAGGTTTGCTAATCGCTGAGATAGCGCGTTCCTGAAAGGCACATAGTAAGCAGGCAAATTTAATGAATCAGTATTTAGTTTACCCGGGGTTGGGGAGGGGGAGGGTTACTTCGAGGTCCCCTTCGGGGCTGAAGACGGATCTGTGGCGGTACCCAAGGTGGTCTAAACGCCAATACTCATCTTAGAGATGATGAGGCGATGGTCGGTCCATCCGTCAGCATTTGGGACTGTCTTTGTCATCCGCACGTTTCGCCTGCCCCGCTGTCGTACGAGGACAAAGTCCAGAAGATGCCATTTTCTGGAACGGGAATGCATCCAGGATATCTTCGGCCGTAGCGAGAGGTGAAAGCAGGCTGTGATCTGACCGTTGAAATACCCAAGGGTAGTCAGCTCGTCCGACCTCAGCACAGTAGCCAGGAGCGCGTGCAGATCTTCGTAAAACTTATTTTTCACCTCATCGGGGTTGGGCATCATAGGCGCATAAACGCTGATGATGGTAACGAATTTTTTTGTCCGAAAAGGCAATCGGAGGCTCATCAAGCGGTCGTTTGTGGCCTGCGGCAACGTTTGCAGTCGTCCTTCAATGTTGGTCCGGATGGCAAAGCCAACTCCAGCCTCACGTCGCTCTACTTGTGACCGACCACTCCAGAAGAAAGTGTATCCAGCGCCTACCTCCTCCAGTTGGCCCTGGTCGGAGCAGCGAGTTTCACTGAGTGCGGCG